ACTTATTTCGTGAATCGGAAGCGGGGATTGCCCCTCTTTTTGGAACCAAGGACCGCTTGCGGGCCGATCCGTGCAGAAGACATTGTCATGTGGGGAGTTTGGCTGGGGCAGCACATCTGTTAAAAGTTAACGCAGGTGTCCTAAGATGAGCTCAACGAGAACAGAAATCTCGTGTGGAACAGAAGGGTAAAAGCTCGTTTGATTCTGATTTCCACTATGAATACGAACCGTGAAAGCGTGGCCTAACGATACTTTAGACCTTCGGAATTCGAAGCTAGAGGTGTCAGAAAAGTTACCACGGGGATAACTGGCTTGTGGCAGCCAAGCGTTCATAGCGACGTTGCTTTTTTATCCTTCGATCACGGCTCTTCCTATCATTGTGAAGCAGAATTCACCAAGTGTTGGATTGTTCACCCACCGATAGGGAACGTGAGCTGGGTTTAGACCGACGTGAGATAGGTTAATTTTACCCTACTAATGATAGTATCGCGATAGTAATTCAACCCAGTACGAGAAGAACCGTTGATTCGCACAATAGGTCACCGCGCTTGGTTGAAAAGCCAGTGGCGCGTAGCTACCGTGCGTTGGATTATGATTGAACGCCTCTAAGTCAGAATCCGGGCTAGACTAATGCATGCGCTTGTTGTCCGTTTGCCGACCCGCAGTAGGGGCCCAGAGCCCCCAAGGGCACGTGTCGATGGCCAAGCGACCATGACAGAAGAGTTGTGGGGCCGCCTTGAAATACAATTCTGATCGGGCGGCGAGTAAAATCCTTTGCAGACGATTTAAATACGTGATGGGGTATTGTAAGCGGTAGAGTAGCCTTGCTGCCACGATCCTCTGAGATTCAGGCCTTTTTCGCTTCGATTCATCCCCCCCTCCCCCCATCCCTTTCCACGACAAACTATCCCTCCCGCAACAAAGACATCAGGGGGCTAAAGAGGTATATGTGAGGGTATGTACTAGAGTCAAGCTAAACATATATATATATTATATATATATTAATGATCGACATATATATATATATATATATATATATATATATATATATATATATATATATATATATATATATATATATATATATATATATATATATATAGACACACACACTGGTGTGTCGATCATTAAATTCACGAAAAGCAAGAACATGTTTATGCATACACCAATCATCATCAATATAATGTGCAGTCACACCCAAATAATATAAATGATGATGAGTATCCTCCCATATATCACTACATATACTAACATGTCCATCAAAGTTTGCGAAAAACGTTTGTAATTTTTGCTTTTCCAAAGCATATTGCCTTATAACTTCTTTTTTAATTGTTTTGCGGCTATAGTTTCGAAATTGAGGATTTAAAGTACCTTGAGCATATTCTTTTAAAGCAAGACTTTCAGAAAAAATAAAAGGCATATTTTCTTCAACAATTAAATGAGACATACCAGTCAAATGTCTTTGATCATCATAGGAGAAATTACCGAAAGGTTGGCCAGTTCCAAACCTTGAAATTTGTGTTTGCTTTCCCTTGCTTTTGTCTGATTTCGCATACGCCGCCGGGTGCTTGGCCTTAAGATGCCTTGTGGTGCTCCCGTACCCTCCAGAAATTCCCAAGTTATACACTTTTGGGAAATGCTTGCAAGTGACGTACCATATCTCGATTTCGGGGTCTTTGACTTTTGTAAAATTGGCCTTAAAGACATATTCAGCTTTCTCACCGCCTTGGGAAGAAGTAGCCACTTCCGCTTGCTCTTCCTCATCGTCCGGTGTGCCATGAACCTCGTCTTCGACCGTTTGCGGATCCCCCTCCTCCGCATCATCATCCTCGAGCTCTTTTTCGTCAATGGTTTACGGGATGTCTTGTTGATGGAAAAAGCGCCCTTGATTTTGTTGCAATAGTTGTTCTAGTTGCTCATCGGACATCGCATCCTCATATCTTTGGTTGTAATCCGCATCAAAATCATCTCGGCTTTGAGATGAAGATCTGGTCTCTCCCTTACCTTTGCGTGACCTTGGATGATTCCTCGAGAACTCCTTTGTTCGATTGCGGCGGAGGTTACCCATATCTACAGATGCTCTAGCACGTTCCATCTTAAAAATATAACAAATATTAAATTCGAAGTACAATTAAACTAGTGAATTTGAAATAAAAATCTAACAATTCAAAATAAAATTAAATTCGAACTATGCAACTACAATGTAATAAACTTAACTACAATTAAATAATAATGCAATGTAAAAATTTGAACTATTTATTTTAAAATGTAACAACTTTATTTAACAAGTTTAACAATTAACTAGTTTTATAGGAGAATAATAAATGTAACAATTAACTAGTTTTATAGGAGAATAAGAAATGTAACAATTAACTAGTTTTATATGAGAATAATAAATGTAACAGTTAACTAGTATTATAGGAGAATAATAAATGTAACAATTAACTAGTTTTATAGGAGAATAATAAATGTAACAATTAACTAGTTTTATAGGAGAATAAGAAATGTAACAAGTAACTAGTTTGTGGGAAAATAATAAATGTAACAATTAACTACTATTATAGGAGATTAAGAAATGTAACAATTAACTAGTTTAACAATTAAACAATTAATTTCAAATTATTGTCTAACAAGTTTTTATGTAACTATTTCCAATAAACTAACAACTAACAATTGACTACTTTTATAGCAATGAACTAATACTAAAATGATAAGTGAAACAATTAACTAGTTTTATATTAATAAAGAATGTATGAGTGTGTAAACTAAATTAATGGGAGTGTGAGAGTGTATAAGCAATTGGATAAGTAGATAATAAGTGTATAAGTAGATATACTTAATATATATATATATATATATATATATATATATATATATATAAAAGTAGATAATAAGTAGATTAACTAGTAATATAATATATTATGTTTATAGTATATATATAATATAAGTATATTAATATAAGATGAGTAATACACTGATATATAATACTTTAATATATATAAGTATATATTAACTATTAAGTATATGTAATATGTAAATATAAGTAAATAACAATAATGTAATAATTAGATAATTAATATAAGTAGATACTAAGAAGATAATAAATTTTATAAATATAATATATGTAGTTATAAATTTGAAAAGATGAAGATGGAGAAGATTAGTAGAGAATACAGATTAGAGAGTAGGAATATTTGGAGAAGATGTGTAGTAAATTGCATAGAAAAAATGGAGTGTTTATAGATTTTTTGTACCCCCACACCCCAACCCACCCCGGGACCCCCTGACAGCCTCCCAACGGCTATAGAGCCGTTTGGGTTTGAATGCAACGGTTCTAAGGCCTTGTTTGGCTGGAAAAGCAAAAAAAAAAATAAAAAAGAGTCGTTAGGCTTGGACCGGGCCCGAACCGGCCGGGCTGGTTCGCTTTTTTCCTGACCCATGCCCGAACCGCCCTACCCGATCAGGCCGGTTCAAAGCCCGAACCGCCCAACACATACCCGGTCGGGCCGGGGCCGCACATTAGCGGGCCGGGCCGGGCCGGGGCCGCACATTAGCGGGCCGGGCCGGGGCCGCACAGTAGTGGGCCGGGCCGGGCCGGTTTCGGGCTAGTTGGATCCATCCCTACACACACACGAGGTTCAAATACAAAGTGGTCTTACCATGCAAAGTGATATTGTACTATGTATGAAGCAAAAATGAACTATGTCTTGTCTTGTCTAACCATTGCAAGACAAGACTCTCTTTCAATTCAAACCCAAACCCTCTAACATCTCTCATACATAGTTCATTTTGGCTCCACACCATCTTGTCTTGCAATGGTTAGTTCAATTCCTTCACATCTTTCATAAGTGGTTCATTTTTGTTCCCCACTATAGAAAAGTGATGAGATAAAAAGTTTGTGTAAGCCATGTTTTAATAAGAGACAACTTCTTTCCCTTTTATAGGATAAGAGTATTGTTTCTAATACAAAAAGGATTGTATTCCTGTTGATAAAAGTTTGAATAAAAATAATTTAACTACTATCGACAAATGTACATAGAACCAATTAGCAAACTAAATTCCTAAATCAAAGATTCTTCAAATCCTCCTGAGATTTTTCAATACTCCCTCGAGCTTTGAGCGAAAATGTTGATGAGACCAAGATTGTTACAGAAAAATTCAAGATTGTTTTCACACAACCATTTAGTAAGAAGATCAATAAACTAGACTAAAGTTGGAACATACTCAAGTTGAATAATTTGCTTATTTAATTTCTTTTTAATAAAGTGTCTATCTACTTAAACACGTTTTGTTGTGTCATGATAAACAGAGCGAATACTGGACTTGATATCATGGTAAAATACCATTGGTTCTTCCAAGTGTAATCTCTAGCGTGTAGAAGTACCTTCAACACGCGTGACAAAAGTACATTCAAATTATTAGGGATGGTTCTCTTAGACTTTTAGAGGTAACATACATTTGAGTGAATTAATTTGTATATATTGTTTGAATTGTGACACCAAATATTACATTAAAAATTCAGGGTTCTCAGCAAAAAATCCTTCTTGCTTATGTTATTATTGGTAGTAGTTAGGGGTGGACCGGTTCCGGTTCGGGCCCGGTTCGGGCCTGGGCCCAGCCGGGCCTCAGTTCAAGAAGGGGAAGCCCGAAACCGGCCCGGGTAACCCCCGGGTCCGGGCCGGGCCTCGGTTCTATTTTTTTTTTTTTGGCTTTTCCTAGTTAACCCCCAACCCTCCCACACACCCTCAAACCAACCGTAACCACCTCAAATGGCCCAAAATGCCCAGCCCAACCCAAAAACTTAAAAAAAAAATCAAAAAAAAAAAAAAAAAAATTGGCCCAGCCCGGGCCCGAACCGGCCGGGCCGGTTCACCTTTTGAAGGGCCCGAGCCCAAACCGCCATCCCAGCGGGCCGGTCCGGTTCCGGGCCGGTTGGCCCGGCCCGAGTCCACCCCTAGTAGTAGTTATTATTATTATTATTAGTTACTATAAATTATGGTTGAATGAAAACAAACTATGTGCCGGACCACAACACACGACAGAAAACACATAATTGGCAAATATTTGAGTAACACAAAATTAACTCAACACATGGACTAATTAAAATGTTGCAATTGAACAATTTAAATATAAATAAATGATAACTTGGACCAATCATATGCACGATTGGTACTTTATTCTGTCTTTTTTAGGGCACCCTATATCACTCACCAAAAACTATAATGTAACAAAAAGATAAGACCATATGAAGTTGCATTTAAAAAGTCAGAGAGAGCGGCTCAATTCTACTGCTGACATTCAGCTTCCCTCTTCTCAACTAATCTGATAAAATTCTGAACTATTGTTTTCCCTTCATTGGTTATAATGCTTTCAGGATGAAATTGTACCCCCTGGCGTTTCATCCCATTGACAAAATAAACAAAACAAAAAACAGTTAGTCCAAAATAAAACAGCAACAATCTCAATTCTCCACAACAAAAAACGCCAAAGAACATCAATGGCATATTTGCCGTTTACTAAAAAATATTGCATTTACTGGATAATGTTTCAAAAAATAGAAGATATACAAATGGTAATTGAACACCTACATTATTGTTTCGAGAAATACGAACTTAAAGTTTTCTTCTGTTTTTTTTATATATAAAAAACGTAGGTCGTTTACTTAAAGTTTTCTTCTGTATTCTTCAAGGTTAAACCAAACATTTAAAAAGCGAAAAAACTTTAACTCTAATAATCTTCCCCGTTGCCTACTATTTTCCTCATTGCAGACATGGTGTAAGAGTCTTTCCTAATTCCAATACAAGAAAGAAACTAGAAAAGGAGGCTTAAAATACGTTCTAAAAAATGCAAACGTTCAACATCATCATATAAATTAGAACACGTATATCCATGTAAATTTTAGGATGTTTTTATTTGGACTGAAATTTTATGGTATGCTCTGGTCTGATCGGGTAAATGTCTGGTCTCTGTGTATTTTACGACTGTCAAAGTCTGGTCTAGTGAGATCTGATCTGAATTAGTGTAAACTGATCTTAAAAACATCCTTAAAGCTCCATACCGTCCAATTGCATGAATCATCATTTTTAATTATAGTATATAATATATCAAGCAAAGCAAGGCAGAGTGTGCAAATTGACATCATTATGTCCATGATATCAGTTGACTTTTTGGTTCTTAATGACATATGCTGAAATAGTTGGAAACTGGGGACCATAAAAACATGAATGCCAGGTGTGGTAACCATTAGTACATTTATGGGTCTACTCATAAGTACTTTCCATTTAAGCACTTGGTGCTTTTCTGATAAAAGATACTAATACGAATTCTTTACTTTCTGGATAAACTGATAAATCTCAATTCTCAACAACAACTAAAAGGCTGCTAGAAGTCTACAACAACACATAATATAACCTATATATGTATAACACAATTACGTAACTCATTATAGCACTTTAAAAACAAAAACAGGAAATGGATGATTCATAGATGTGGGTAAAATGACAGGTTCAAACATCTGAGGAACGAGACCTCAACCTGTTACGGACGCGGTTGGAAGATGAAAAAGAAAAGAACGAAAATTATGATAATTGAAAAAATAACACAGCTTCCCGTCCTAGGCAAGGAAGTGTCCACCGGTTCCACCGAGTGCACAAAGAATTATTTCTCCAAAAGATTAATGATCTTATTAATGAATATGCTACCTCTATTTATACTCATCTAAGAGTCTTGGTGGCCTAGTATTACAATACTTCTATTAGGAAATTAATAACTAAAATAGAATATGTATACTAATAGGAAACTACAAGTAATAATAACATTAGGAAACTAACACTAATACTTGAGGAAACTAATAATCATAATGAATAATAATAGTAATAATAATGATATTAATAGTAATAATAATAGGCTTCTTCTGTCCATATTACAACCATTACGAATGCACTACAATAGTACAAAATACAAATGCATCTAATTTTCAAAGCATGTATTTCCTTGCATAGAGATGACATAGAAAAAATTACCATGACGTATAGATGAAAAAAACAGTCTTGTGGAAAAATTCTAACAGAAAAGAGACATTACCTGCAGGTAACGATACACTTTGTGACGAGCAGCCATTACCAGTCCATCCTCTGTCCATGCTGTTATCTCAAGTTCATCTGTAGGGAAACTATCCTTATCAATCACAAGGCTATGATATCTACCTGCAGTGAATGGGCTGAAAGCAAATACAAAAAAAATCACTAATGGGATCAGAGTCAGACCTTTCAAATTAAAATAAAAACTAACAAAAGATCAATTATATTTTCAAATGAAAGCAATATTGAAACAGAAATGAATAGTGAAATTCATCAACTTCAAGGTCCAAAAGGTCAACTTCAATAGTTGAAATTCATCAACTAATGGGATCAGAGTCTAGAGTAGGTAGGGGTACTGGGTAGCCAGCAGTGGAGACTGCCCGGTCCTATAGAGTGCCCAAAATTGGCTCTAGAGCTACTAAAGCTTCTGGCTAGTATTCCTAGTAATACTGTATTTCTATAACACGGGTGTCCTGGACTACAGGTCTGAGTAACCCCGCAGGCCCTTGATTTAATGCTACTGTTTTAATGTTACCCTCCCGGCTACAGTCATTCCTCTTCTTATCTGTTGTAAATTTAGATGTGATTCTCATTTGGGTTGAAGAGAGCATCCTGTGATGCATGTTATTTGCACACAACCAGTGTTGTCAAAAGCACTCGCTTCTGCGCTTAAGTGCACAAGGCGCAGCGAGCTACACCCCTAGCGCCTGAGAAAGGTAGAAGCGCACAACCCTGGGCAAGGCGCAGCCTAAGCGCTAGAAGCGCATGAAGCGCGGAAGCGCTATAGGCGCGCGCCTGCGTCGCCTGAGACGGAAAAGGCTGACAGCCCTTTTTTGGTTTAAAACTTTGAAAAACAATTAGCCCATATCTTTAATAGTCCTCAGCCCATGAAAACAATAGGGTAAAGAAAGTTAAACCTATGTAAAACTAAGACTGTAAGTACGTAAAAACGTAAACTTGCGCAAGACACTACAAAGCTTAATCGCTAGCCATCCTCTTCACTCTCCTTGCTTTCCTCACTCAACACTCAAGCTGCATATTAGTATCATAGCACTCTGCTTTGTGATTTTTAGTATATTAGTATGCATATAATACTCAGTCTCATAGCTGCTTTGTGATTTTTTAGTATATTAGTATGCATATAATACTCATAGTATTCTGCTTTTTTATTTTTTAGTATATTACTATGTATATAATACTCATACTCTCATAGTACTCTGCTTTGTAATATACATATATAGTACTCTACATTGTATATAATACTAATATACATACTAAAGATATATGTTCTTATATGTTCTTAACTTGAAATATATTACTTTAATATATGTAGCTATGTAGTAAAGATATATGTTCTTAACTTTAAATATATTAAAGTTATATGTACCTAATGTACTAAAGATATATGTTCTTAACTTTAAATATATTCATAGTAGTCACGGCACACGACGACCGACATGGCGCAGGGTAATTTCACGCGGCGATGGCGATGGCGCAAAAATGGTGCACAAATGGCGCACCAGTAAAACACAACTTTAAAAAACTTTAAACATAACATATAGACAATATAGGTGTATGACTTAACCACCAATTAAAGAGTGAAATTGTTAAATAATCCAAATCAAACCAACTTAATATCAACCAAAGTATTTTTTAGTTCATGTCTAAAAAATTGAATTTAAAGTATGATCTTTACGATCTGTTGACTAATACTCTTTGGCAACATATAGTTCATTGTTGCCATGCCTCCATATTAAGTTCATTGTTCCATAAAAAAGAAAACTTTAAGAGGAATAAGACATTAATTCCCTTTCTTTTAAGCACTGACCATAACATACAAAAACAAAAACAAAAGACAATAACATACATAATACATCATACGAAATATGGTAAGGAACACAATCACACTTACTTAAACAGAGGTATAAGCTCAAACTCAAAAATAATGTCGGGGAGGAATTTCCTGGGAGGTCGCCGGAGGCTAGGGGGTGGTTGGATGGGTGCCGGGTGGTCGCCGGAGGCTAGGTGGTTGTTGGATGAGCGCTGGGTGGTCGCTGCTATCTGGCCGCTCCGTCCACACTCCAGTGCTCCACGCACAGTAGCGCAGATACAGAGATAAGAATGCTTCTTGGTATTATTAGCCGTCGTTTGTTTTTACTGAAATAGGGCTGGGAAGTCGACCCACGTACGCAGAGTCCATAATTATTCTGGGCCTATTTTTTTTAAAATTAGCGCCATTTTTGGCGCATCAAAGCGAAAGCGAGGCGATAGCGCAGAGTTGGTGACGCCAACTGTATCCCCTGCGCAATAGCCATATTTCCTGGCGCCAACGTTCTGAATCGCCAAAGGCGCTAAATGGCGATCGCCAAATGCGCTATTGACTACTATGAATATATTAAAGTCGTATGTACTATAGATGTATGTTCTTTATATATCAAACTGATTCCATATAGTAACTTTATGTATCAATTAACAAACTGATTCCATTATATATGTAGTAAAGATATATATCTTAACTTTATATGTACTAAAGAGTAAAGATATATGTTTTTTAATATATGTTTATTTATGGTTTCCCATGTATTAACTAATTCCAGCTTTGATCTTTTAGTTTTAGTTTTAGTATTAAAGCCATGAATTCTAAATTTGGACTTCTATTTTTGTGAATCATGACTTAATTTTGGTGAATCCTAGCTTTTTTATGCATTTGGTTCAATATGATGTTACATACATCATATTTGGTAATTATAGAATAGTATATGTGACTTTATATAAGTAATGCGCTTCACCCGAGTCAGGCGAGCGCTTTTTCGCGCTTTGCGCCTCAGGCGCTAGAAAACTCCTAGCGCTTCAGGTGCGCCTTATGACTTTGACAACATTGCACACAACATTGGCATTTGTAGCTGACATGAAGTGATGAACACAAATTTGGAGTGAGGGCAGTTTTGGAAGCACAGTGCCTCTTTAGCAGGAAGCATGATGAGGAAGGGGGGGTTAGCATTGAAAGCATAGGACATCACAAAAAGACACTTTCCAGATTCTGCATACTATCATCCAGAAAGAGGGAGAGACCGAGGACGATGACAAACACCGTATAAATGAAGGTGGATAAAGTGGAGGAATGGAGTAGGACAAGACCGTCCCCTTAAAACTGAATGAATAACTTCTATACAATAGCCATCCGACCAGCTGTGATGCATAGTTTGAGTGTTGGAGGATAAAAAAAGGCACTGAAACAAAAGTTGGACGTTGGAAGTTGCAAAAATGAGGATGTAGCAGTGCACATATGTACAAAGTTGAACAGAATATCGGCTGAAGTTTTACGGGTTGAGCCAAGAGCCACGTCTATTTCCAGCAAATAAAGGGTAGACCACAATAGATTGGCAACGTCTGCGAGACAGATGTGATATCACAGATGAGGAGAGTGGAGAATGTTTTAGTCAAGGGAGCGAGGAGGAGAGAAAGGCCTCAAAGCATGTGGGATGAGCAGCGCTTGACATGGCCTCCTTATTCCTTAAAATCTGAAAGAACTTGACATTTGATAGGGGTTCCTGGAGAAGCTATATCAGGGTAACGGATTTCTTGTAGGATTTGAGGGCAACTCTTATTGGCAGGCTGGGGCTCTTTTTCGCACTGCAGTTACGGGTGTGTTGGAGCTTTGCTTATTTTCCTATCTTCTTTCTTAACTACTAGTACTTATTTACTACCTACCTTTCTATATGTCCTTTACAAAGTTGTTGTGTGCTATTTTTATATTTTGTTCATTCCCTAATTGAGAAACATTTTATATACGCACCAACTTGTATACTAGCATACCAAGGATGCACCTAGCAATTTGATATGGACACATATAATGCACATGGACAAAAATAACTTTGTGGACAAAATAATTCTCTATCCATGCCTGGTGTACAAATTGGTGTACATAAAGCATTACTCAATACAAATCACTCATCCTTTCATTGTGGATGACTTTTTTTAATTCAAAATTTTACAGAAGATTTCAAATTTTCCAACTCTCCTATTTTTGACATCTTTCATAACTTTCTAATTTTTCCTTTGCCGAGCTTCTTCACAGAAACTGCCTCTCAACTCCCAGGGATAGTGATAAGGTCTGCGTACACCTCACCCTCTAATACACCTTACTTCCAAGTAGGACATAATTGGTAGGTTTCTTTCAGTGCAATTTTGAGGTGTATAGATCCAGTTACGAAAAAACATGCTTACAAGCCAGCATATGAATACAGACTAGCTATTTGTTAGACTGTTGTGGTAATCATAACTCAGCTAGAAGTGTTTTCATCAGCCTATCAGCACACTGAAAATCTATTGGAGGATTACAAATCCAGTAGAGTAGTAGATGAATAGCAAATACTCAGTATAACATAGATTACAACCTATAAACTATTCACGACCTGCCATAAAATTATTGAATAAATTGTAAGAGCTTACTTTGGCAGCCCTGTAAACAAGCCATCTTCTCCACCCTCATTGTAATACACAGGAGAACTTTTCCCATGCATCACACCATACGGAGAACGCACTACTTTTCCTGGAAACAAAGAAAAATAACAATAAGCACTACATCTTTAACCTAAAAATTAAAATGCAAACTATGATGGGAGAAATGTAGATGACAGCCAGATGGTAATGGTGAGCAACTTTAGGGTGTTATATGTGGATTTGTCATCGAGACATAGATACTGAGATGCCATTAGAAATTGCAAGCAAGATGATATATATAGCAGTGCAACTTGCCCACATCTGTTACTAATATCTATTGAAAATCATCTACATACAATATCTAGATGATTTTATCAAAACAAGCTTCACCCCTGCATTCATGTTTTCGCTACATTACAGCTAACTTTCTTCTGCATGCTTTTAAATTATGATCTTTAAGCCACAATTCCATTTCGTATGTGCATCCAGTTATGATGGTGAAACATCAGATATTTCAAGCTAGCACTACAGCAGTAGGATAACCAATTATATCTTCACAATTTGCTAAAGTCTAAATAGACTTCTGTAGCACTATTGTCTGTATTACTGGGAGTTTGGTCCATACATTTCACCTCTTTAACCCCACATCTGAGAGAGTGTAACATTTCAGATTAAGAATACTTTCAGATATGTAGCATGTAGCATCAAATTAAGAGAGAATAATGGTGCATTCCTCCCAAAAATCAACCCCCAATTTTTATCTACCACCTGTAGGGCAATACTATTTTCAACTCTGTTATATTTTCAGGTCTTAAGTGCTGCTGCAGGTCAAGGGAGGCAGCACACAAGCAGCAATGCCAACACCTGGAAGGGAGCCCCAAGTTTTACTTAGATTCAGATTAGGGTTGCTGTATAATCACATCACATTAATACATTATAAGCTTTGTAGCCAATCTATAATAGTTATTATAAATTCCTTATTAGCCCAGAATTCCTCTTGGTATATGGATTCCATAATAGGTTCATACTAGTTCATTTGTTTCCTAGTTAGAATTTTTATGCTCCCAGTATGGTAGCATAAGTTTTATCCGAGGACCCCTGGGACTTCAACCACACCCTGCCTACCTTGTTCTACCTAAACTCTTTCCTCTTCTTAATAAGAAGGTGACCTTTAACCTTAACATGTGCCTCATTGCCAGCATCATGGGTGATAACTCCGATAAGCCAACAGACTTCTCAGCAAGGCAATCCTGATATACAAAACTTGAGTTCATGGCTTTCACTGGGAGGAAAGATCCTTTAATCTGGCTCCAACATTATGATCTTTATTTTCGAACACCCATACACCACATCAACAAGAATGGATTGGTGACCTTTTACTATGATGGGCTAAGCTTGATTCTAGCATCATTGTGTTTCATGGCAAACTGTAATTAATGGAGATGAATCCTACTTGCCCTCATATGAGACAGCCTTCTCTGTGGCTTGGTAATCACATCGTAAGTGTCACAACACCTCAGCGACAGCCACAACAACCAGACGTTCCAGGACAACCACCCATTTGCTGCTCATCCCCAGACAAACAGGAAGCTTTCAGAGTGGTTATGTTTCAATTGTGATGACATTTGGTTTCAGCCTTTCAGGAACACTGAAACAGGGACAGGCCAACTCAATTGTGTCTCTTGTATCATAACATGACCCCAATTCCGGAGTATGTGAGCAAGTACCAACCAAGCAGGAAGGGGTCCATTTCTGGTGGATTCATTGGTCATCACACTCATCATATCATCCTTGGAGTAAAATGGCCTAATACACTGGGATCAATTAAGTGGAATTTCAGTCCTAGGGGATGCAGTTCAAACTCCATGCAGAGCAGCCCATGGCATTTTCACTCCATTGCTACCCTTTCTCTAATCATGAGTCCTTGATAGTAAACTGGGTGTGATCTTGAGTTTCTTAGGCAGATTTAACGCTGCTCTGGTTGTGATCTTGTGATCACCACATTGTCCTCATAGCAGCACCAAATCAATAGTTGTTTGGCCGTATTAGTACCCTCAATTATTGTAAGATGATAGGAATATAGTTTAGTAGGCTAATAATAAGAAATAATAATAATAGTAAGGGTACATTTAGTAGTATAAATAGAAGGGGAAGGGGAGGAATAAGGGATCTAATAATAAGTACCTTGTGGGCTAGTAGCCTTATTAATCCCTGCGTGGATAATACTATAAATAGAAGGGGGGATATCAAAAGAAGGAGGCTGTTATTTGATTTGGGTGTTGCCTTTGGAGAGTGGGCTTCTCGAACAGTCCCGTTGCTTTGTTACCTACATTGATCCCTTTTCATTCAATAAACACTATCATCTATCTCTTCTAGCTAGATCTGTGTGTTTCCTCACTGTTTTGCTTTGATTAATACCACTGATCTATCAACGGTATCAGAGCAGTTCTCCTGGGGATCGGATTGAAGTGGCGACTTATCATCTGTAGTGCTCTAGATTATTAACTTCCTGGAGCTATGGAAGAAGTCTGGACACCAGAAATGGAGGCTCGCATGGATAAGTTGGAACAGGAGATGAAAGTGACTTTTGCAAACCTCTTGACAACGATGAGTGAACAGATTCAGAACAGCGTCGCGACTTCTATGGCAGCGATTTCAGCTTCTGTTGCCGCGAAGAAGGAACAAAGGGGAAGATCACGATCATCGCATCGTCCGGCTTCTAACAGTTCGCAGATGCGAACTAAGTATTCCAGTGCATCGCGAAGTGCGCAGGTTCCGTCGCGAGCAACTTCTCACAGTTCGCAATCGCGATTCTCTTCTTTGCAATTGCGAACTTCATCATCGTCGCCAACAGCTCTTCCCAGTTCGCAAGCGTCGCCGCAAGCAGATGTCCTCAGTTCACCGGCCCCGCCGCGTACAGCCTCTCATAGATCGCAGACTCCATATAAATCGCCAGCATCTTCTTCCACTACGCCGGTCAATTCTCACTTTTCGCCTTCTTCATCATCGCAGACTCTGACACACGCTGTTTCTCAGAGTACGCAGGTTTTGTCATCATCAGATTCTCCTGGTTCACAGCTTAAGTCTGTTCATCAACGGCAACCTCAGCTTAAGTCTCATAATTCGTCTCCAGATCCTCGACGGCAGACTTCTGCGTTCGTCTATCCTCACAGTTCGCAGACTTCCTCTCTATCTGTTGTTCTGAGTTCTCAGGATGAGACACATTCGGCTTCTCCCAGTACGCCAGCGTCTTTTCAAATCGCTTCTCACAGTCCACAAGTTCTATCACTCGGTCTGGAGCTGGTTAGCCGGCAGCAAACTCACTCTGAAGATACTTTCATCTATGGTGACGAAGGAAGAGAGGAGAAATCTTCTGTGGTGACTCAATCCTCAACGGCCATGAAAAATGAATCTGCTGATGATAATTATAAAGTGGGGAATAAGGTGGTTCCTGAAATCTCTATAGGTGGTGAATATTCAGCGGCACCTACTAGTATGGGAAAGCTGGTTGGAACTATAGAAGTGGAACACTGCCTGCTGGGAAAGATGGTTTACGCTTCTATCTCCTCACTGGGGCTAATAAGGTTGGGGGCAAATCAAGACAGGGAAGCAAGGAGGTTTCAGGAATCCTTCTGTAATGGAATGTTGGGAAAACAGCTTACGCGCACATCAGACCATAATTCTGAATGGTTGTACATTGATTGGAATGGAATTCCTCCCTCTATTTCTGCTGTGGAATATGAACATAAAAATGCTTGGCATAATGCTGAGTTGTTTGAAGCTAACAGGTGGAATGGTTTTCGCCATAGAAATGATTTGGATGCAATAGGTACTGATTATATAGAACAAATCCACAGAGCCAATATATCAGCGGATAGTAATAGTGTGAGGGGTATGGTTGTGGTTGCTATCCGATCAGGAAGAGTCTGTTCTAAATTGGAAGCTGTTATGGGTTCATCCTCTTGAATCCCATTCGAAGGAAGCACTGAAGAGGCCCCATCTACATATTCATCTGATGATGACTACATCCAGAAACAGAACCTTCTTAAGTGGCCTGGCAGTCCCACTTTTGATGCTAAAAAGGAAAAAGTTTGTGATAATATAAGCACTGTGTGTGGAAATATACCTCAAAAGGATCCCAGCAATATCCAGCAACATAGTAGATGGATTATATACATGGTAAAGGCTGTCCAGTGGACTAGCATTCAGTTTAGAAACACAGTAATTGAGATAGTTTTCAACGACTCTACTGCTCCAAGGTTTTTCAATTTTGTAACCCAAAATGATGCAAAGGGTATTGGCAGCTTGATTATTACAAACAGAGATAAATCAATGTCTCCAAAAAAAGTACAGAGACAAGACCAACACTATTTCGTTGGTTGATCAACGTGTTGCATTGGAAGTGGTTGAAATCTATAAGGCAAGTTCGCAGAGAAAAGAGAATACTAACTCTCAGTACTTGATGATTCTTAACACACATGCTGGAAGATCTTACAATGATTTAACTCAGAGTTTGGTAATTCCTGGGGTTCTGGCTGATTATTCAGCAAGGAATTTTTTGTACTCAGGTGATCCTTTTCGTAGCTGCAAACCAAAAATGCTTTCAGAGAATCTATTCGAGTGCAGATCAACCATTTTGGATAGCAAGAGGTTTGTAAAGATTCACACTTGGTTGATGGATGCTAATCCATTCCTTGCTGGTGAGGAGGATAAGATTCAAAGTTGGCAAGATTCTGGGGCATTGTTACTGGAAGAAGTGATAAATTCTAGTGGTGCAGAAGGAGTGATCCTCAAAGACAATGACCGCAATGAGATGCAGGAATTACTTGGAGGGTATGAAAATAATCGGATGAAGAACATGAAGATGAAGGTTCAGGTGATGTACTGGGAAGGTAGAGGCGTAAGACTGAAGATGAAGTCGAAGCTCAGGGCTGTATCATATCACCCACCTTGAGGACAAGGTGGTTGTTTAGGGGGGAGTATTGATAGGAATATAGCTTAGTAGGCTAATAATAAGAAATAATAATAATAGTAAGGGTACATTTAGTAGTATAAATAGAAGGGAAAGGGGAGGAATAAGGGATCTAACAATAAGTAACTTGTGGGCTAGTAGCCTTATTAATCCCTGCGTGGATAATACTATAAATAGAAGGGGGGATATCAAAAGAAGGAGGCTGTTATTTGATTTGGGTGTTGCCTTTGGAGAGTGGGCTTCTCGAACAGTCCTGTTGCTTTGTTACCTACGTTGATCCCTTTTCATTCAATAAACACTATCATCTATCTCTTCTAGCTAGATCTGTGTGTTTCCTCACTGTTATGCTTTGATTAATACCACTGATCTATCATAAGATGAGATTAAAACTCACTGCAAGGACATGCTTAACAATAGCATTATTCAGTGTAGTTGTTCACCCTTATTGTCTCGGTAATGTTGGTCCCAAGACTCACAAAAAACAATGGCACCTAGAGTTTTGGGTAGAATATCGAGAACTCAACGCCCATGGCGTCAAAGATAAATTCTCAATTTGGGTCATTAATTCACTTTTGGCTGAATTACAGGGAGCTGTTTTTTATTTACCAAACTCAATATACACTCCACATACCACCCAATTTGGATGCACTCAGGCAACATGCCAAAACAAGATTGCATGTAAGGGTCACTTGACTCACTTCACCACTTCTTTGCTTCTTCCATATTAGAATTGTGTTGGCTTGGCAAGTTAATTTGTTACACATTTTTTCCCAGCACAAAGGCACAAACAAATTGAACTCCACCTTTCCCTTCACTAGCAATGGTCAGGGCTCTTGATCCAGGCTGCTAAAATTATATAAATAATAGATGCCGTTCTCAATGCCACGATAAGGTGTGAATGTGGGGCTAAAAAATTGTGAAAATAACACAAGTATTTCATATTTACGAAAAATGTGGATGAATTTGGGAGACGTGCAATCATCTATGATTAAATATACAGTTGCAAATACCAAATTAATAAAACAAATGTTTGACCACATCAAGATACCAGCAAGTTGGGTAAGAATAAATATACTTTACATTAAAGCTCACCTCCAAAAGCCTCTCCAATGCATTGCAGCCCCATGCAGACACCAAATAATGGAACAATAGGTCCCAATTCCAGTACAGTTTGTAATGATATTCCTGAATCTTTAGGAGCTCCTGTGATTGTTACAATTGGAGGAAGAAAACATAAATTTGTGCTCGAATAATAAAGAAGCATGAAAATAACAAGGGAATGAAAGGACTGTTGAACACTTGAACATTCTCTTCAGCATCCTTACCTGGGCCTGGTGAAATGACAATTCCCCTTGGTTTTTTCCTGAAAAGATTGAAACATGTCATATATTTACCTACTGGAAGGAACACAATGTCTATTTCTCTGATGTTAGTTTCATTTGAAATTCAAATCATTTCATTTTCATTTTCATTTACCCCAGTGCCGCAAAGGCTCCCACCTACGATGGGGTAAGGGGGGGTCGGATGTACGCAGTCTTACCCCTGTACTGGACTGACTGCTTCCGGATGACCCATAGTGAAAATCGCGTCCAAAATTGCATGGACTGACCGCTTCTCCATAACAAAGAAGCGCAGACAGTTTAGTGAGCTATTTTGCTTTATTCCATCATAATCTCAAGCCAAAAAATAATGAATCTTTGGCTCCATTGCAAATGATGGAAATAAATAAATAAATAAATAAATAAATAAATAAATAAATAAATAAATAAATAAATAAATGAAACAAATGTAATTCATATAGCAACACAAAGTTCTACAAGAATAAATGAAGCATAAGAATCCAAATTTATTTTTATTAAAAAAACTCAAAGCCATTAGTTTTATAATAAATACTATCTATAACCATTGCAGTAAGCCAGTAGTTTTATCTTTAACTTTACATTACATTCAAATTGTGAAATTCTGAATGCCACATAATTTAGTCTGGATCACTCATGACCCTTACTTTCCAGCATGAATACGAAGTGGAAGAAACCACTACTCCCCACTTTACCTTTTGATGATTAGAAAATGAACAAAATAATATTCATCAAATTAAATTAACACACAATAACAGAAAGCAGATTCATTTTCAATGGGTCAACCCAGCACACATAAGGCTTCTTTAAAAAGTGTCATTATGTGATTATCTGGTCCAAAGAGCTACTACATTAAAATATCATACATAGCATCAAATTCCAACACTTCTAGGAGTATAAAAATTACTCCCCAGTTTCCCTTACTTCTTCAGTTCATCCACCGTGAGATCGTCATTCCTATAAACCTCGAAACTGCATCCCAGCTCTCCCATATACTTCAAACAACAAGCAAAGTAATGCTAATTAAAGAAAGAACAGAATCGTATACAGTAACTTTTAAAAGATACTGACTTGGCATAAGTTGTAAGTGAAGCTATCATAATTGTCGATAACGACGATTGAACTTTTTTCTTGCTTAGCCCTTTCTGAGGAAGCTTCAACTGATAGCACGGAAGAATGCTGCGAAAAAGCCACATGTGCTGTACTAAAGTTCCTCTTGATGCCAAATCCAGCAACTGATGGTCTGTAATTAGGAAATGCAAGGGATTTGGGCGTGTGTAAACCTGAAAGGAAAATATTGGTTTTCAAATGAAAGGCGGAAGATTGGGAGGGTGGGGGCGGTGCAACGGCGGCCATGGCGGATAAAGGGTACGACTTCGTTGGTCTCTACTTCGCGGTAGCTGGAAGTTGGAGACGGTTACTTCTGAGAGTCGGTAGGGTGGGGCTCTTGGCCCATCATTTTAAATACTAGCTTGGTCTCATTCAAAAAGCTTCAGTTGAATGCCATGTGGGGTGTTCTCTAAAATCAAGAAAATTAATTAAAATTAATTAAAACAGGCAAAGAAAAACAGAAAAGTGATGGAACGGAAAATAGTCAAAGCTTGTGCTAAGCACAATGTTTTTAAAACGTATTTGTTGCCTCCCACGATGCTAAGAGCGTTGCAACGATCGTTTTCCAGGATATGATGACTACGAACAATCATTGAACACACAATAGATTGTTCCGGTGAACGGAAACAAGGACTGAACACTCAGGAATTCTTCAGAGAGAACTGGAGGTGTTTTTAGCTCTAAAATGACGTGAGGAATGTGTAAGTTCGTGTGTTGTTGCAAAGCACTTACCAGCTTACTTATAGGAAAGAATTTGTTGTGTGTTAAGTGTGTCTTAATGGACCTGATCTTTGGACATCAATGAGCAGAAACGTTAGCCATTGATTCGTCCAAAAACTGTCCATTTAAGGGTGCATTAAAAGAGAACGGTGTTGGGCAATAACTGATGTAACGTTTCAGAAGAGTTCTGTCTGAAGCCTTCTGATTCGGAACAGAAGCGTTCTGATGCGGAGCAGAAGGGTTCTGGTCCGAACAGTTCTAATGCGGAGGAAAAAGGAACGTTACGGGAGGACACAAAAATTAAATCGTATCTTTCAAAGATAGAATTTGCGGACCACATTCGTGCCCGCAGGTCGCCCGCGCACGCAAGTCGTGGTTTTCTTCTCCATTTTCGAAACTTGTTCGGCACCCCGTGCGCATCAAGAGAGAGAATCTTAACTTCTTCAAAGAGGGTTCCCTTTATAAGGAGGTGAAAATCTCCTTCGTTTTCCGGTGTGGGAAGTATCACACTAGAAACCCATCATTTCCTAGTTTTTCCCATTCCAACGAGTGAACTTCGAGAATCAATTTCTCATTCACCCGTTATCCGTTTTGAGTGTACCATATATCAAATTGTAGCCCTTAACAAGGAGAATCTGAAACCAATTTGACCCAACCAAAATCAGAAGTGGACCCCACTCAAAATATTGCCTCAAATTGACCATTTAATGCAATTGTTAACACAGTTTTCCAACATGCCACCACAAGGTGTTTTCAAAACCTAGAACATTCAAATCTGGGGAAAATCGTGGTCGAAGATTTTATGGTTGTGCGTTATGGCTAGTAAGTTGGACTGATTTACGAATTATATATGAATTTCTTGAATGAAATTATGTTTGAATTATGGACCTTTTTTAGAAAGCAGATTGCTTGTTTTTTCAATGGGTTGCGGACTATCCACCTATGGGAGTAGATGGTGACAAGAAGGGAAAAGGATAGACCAATTGACCATCTTGATGATGAGAGAAAGGATTTGGAAGAGAAAATTGCAAAGTTGAAAAAGAAGAAAAAAAGCTGAGAGCAAAAAATGAAGAGTTGTTGGGATTAGTTTGCAAGCATGCAAAAGGAGAAAAGTATTCATTTATGGCTTTGCTTGTCTCCTGGATTGTGTTTGTTGTTGTTTTGTATGGGAAATAAAAGTGATAAATGTGTTAGTGTTGCTGGTTTGGGTGTTATTACTTATTAGAGTATTAATAGTGTGTCAAGTGTTGTTTAGGAACCAGGGTGTTGTGTTTGTAGTTTAATTGTGTTGGGTGTTGTAACCGAATTTGGGATCCATTCCTGTGATTTGTATAAGACCAGTTGGTGTTTCTAATACTATTACCAATGGAAAATATATGTGTTATCACCACTCTTAAATCTGAAATTAGCACATTCAAAACAAACTGAATATTTATGTGCTCTCACCACTCTTAATCTGAAATTATCACACCCAAAACCAACCAAGAAGTATGTGTTCTCACAACTCTTAAATCTGAATTTACCACACTCAAAAGCAGCTGAAAATGTATAAGTTATGACCACTCTTAAATATGAAATTACCCCACTCAAAACCAACTGAAAATGTATGGATTATAACTACTCAAAACCAACTGAAAAGGTTTATGAAAATGTGTTAATCACCACTCCAAAGTAAACCTAGTCACTTTCAAAAATGGAAAGCAAACCCGATGCTCATTGTTTCATATTAAGCGTGATGGTCCCTGATAGCGGTAAAAGTCTAGAGAGGGGGCTGGATACACTTTTAAATCTTTTTCAACTTTAAAACGTTTCTCCCTCTAAAGAGTTGATCTATAATCTTTTAGGAGATTTATAGATGCACAGTGGAAGTCTTTAACCTTTTAGATAAATAGTGTATTACACTTTCTTTGATGGATGAAGTTTGGACTTGATAAGGTGAGCAATTGGCTTGGCAGTTGGCTAGAAAGCAGGGAACTGCTGAGGCAACTGCTAGCGAAGTACTCAGTTATGATAACGGTGCACTCAGAATCTTTCTTAGAGTGGGAAGAGCTTTCTGATGATATAACAAGGTAGATTAATAATCAATCTTAATGAGAGCAGTGGTCTCAGCAATTGGATGGTAACCAGGGGACTGCTGAGGCACCTGCTTAAGTAAGGGTGAAGGTATGGAAATATTGATTATGTGGAGTTTCTCAGGATGATGTGGGCTTTCTGAAGATGTGCATTAGTCCAAGTAAGTGGGAGTTTTACTGGAGCAGTGGTCTCAGCAGTTGGGTGATAGTGAGGGAACTGATGAGGCAACTGCTGAGTTACCACTTTGAATTAGAGTGATTAGTTTGAACAGACTTCTTGGAGATAGAGTTTTGAAGGTCTGGTGAAGTGGAGATGTTCAAAGGAAACACTTTTGCATGAGCAGTGGGCTTAGCAGTTGGGTAGTCACCAGGGGACTGCAGAGGCAACTGTTATGCCTTCTTGTTTCTGCTGCTTTCTTTGCTGCTATTGATCTCTTAAGGGAGGGGCCTGCTTGTGTTGAACCTTCCCCCTTTTTGGCATCATGAGCAGGGGTCTTGCTTTCATCAAACTGTGCTTTTATCTCTGGATCAGAAACAACTTCGTCTTGTCCTCTCTTTGTTGGGTCTAAACCATATACCTTAATAGATAATGCTTTGATGTAGTTGTTGCCGTCCAGCAGATCTGTTCTTACCTCATCTCTGACTTCATTTTCGAGCCCTTGAACCCTTTGGTTAGTTGTTTCCAAATTATGGCCCAGTCTGTGAAGGTCACTTCCATGTTTTAGGAATGCCTCTTGTGTGGCTTTGTGAAGGTCATTGAGGTGTTTGGAAACATCAGCTCGTGTTTGACCGATTGCCTCAGAGTGTTCAACTTGCTTTGTGACCAACTTTTGTGAGAGATGGAGAATGGCAGGAAGCTCCTTGATCTTGAGGTGTTGTATGAACTCCTCATGTGCCTGTATTGTTGGAAGGGTCTGCTCAAGGTTGGGAGGAAGATTAGGAAGAGCAGGTACCTGAGAAGAGACCTCTGTTGTTTGCTGGAGGCACCTGCTTGACCGGAGGCAACTGCTAGCTCTTGTGTTCTTAGTTCTTTGAGGGATTCTACGATTTGATCTTCTAGCTCTTCATCCCTGGCTTTCAGAGCTTCAAGCTCTTTGTGAATCGCCTCCATTTGAGCTGGTTGGTTTGAGAGTTGGATGTTGAGCTGTGCTTTTTGCTCTGAGTTGAATACTTGTTGTATCATCAAGTTGCTCTTTAGATGGCAGTGTACTTCAGCGAATCTCATTTCTAGCAGCTCATCAAAATGCTTCTTCATTTTGATCAGTCTCTTGTGCAGGTGAACCTCAGCATTACTTATGAATTTTATGGTTGCTCTTCTTTCGTTGATGAAGACCTCTGTCAGTGTAGGAGCATCTTCTTCATCATCATGCTGAATTTGATCTCTAATTTCATTTGATGTGGCAGGCTGCTCAGGTGTTGTATCTTGGTGGGGTTCCAAGTTGAGATCTATCAGAGCAGTCCCCTGCTGGATGGTGGCAACTAGCAGCTTCTGGGGAGGTTTGGAGGATTCCCCTCCTCCTTGAGTTTCCATTCTGGATTTCTCAAGGGTTTGCCTGAGTTCTTTATCACTTGAAGAGGAGTGAATGATTTGCTTACCTCTTGAGATTGGTGGACCTTTAGGTGCATCATCTTCATTTTCACTGGAGTCATCCATTGTGTCTTTGGCAGTGAGCTCCTTCTTCTTCCTGGCATAAACTTCATTGATTTTGTGCAACCTTGTAGCATCTGCCATGTCTTCAGTCCCAAGCCACTCTACTACAACATCGCACACTTCATTGAAGTGTGCGATGGTTTCAACTTGATGTAGGATTCTTGAGAGCTTCCATGATCGCCATGCTTTGATTCTGGCGAATCCAGCATCTAATCGCTCTAGAGGAGTCAGGACAGGTGAGGCCACTGCTGGTGATTGAGGCCCCTGCTCGGCTTCAAGGGGAGCCGCCTGCTCGCTGAGTTGAGGGGTATGCTATGCTTCTGGTGGAGCCGCCTGCTCGTTGATTAGAGTGGCCTACTCCGTTTCTATGGGAGCCACCTGCTCTCCATGTTGAGTTATTCTGGGGATGAGTATAGATAGGGGACGGCAGAGTTGTTGCTCGCATTTGAAGAGTTGAATGAGGATTCTGCTTCTTCTTGGATGATGGCTAGAGGAGAGGTCACTGCTGCCTCTTGAATGATGTTGAGAGGGGAGGCTACTGTTTGTTTATGGGTGTGGTGTGTGGATGAGGCTGCTTCTTCAAGTTCATCTTGTAGATTTCTGGTTGCCGTCCTTGGCTTCTTTGATTGAATTGTCTTGCACCCAGACCGAATTCTCTTTGCAGTCTTTGTCTTGATTTTGTCAAATGTGATTTGAAGAGGCTCATGAGATAGTAGAGTAGCATCTTCCTTATGAATCTATGGTGCTCCAGTCTATGATGTTTGGAAGAGAAATTTCCTCCAGTTTATATCTTCCTTAACAGTTACCTGTATCCCTTTCTTCTTTAGCAATTCTCCAATGAGGAATCTGTAGCCTATCAGTGGTAGCGAACCATCCTTTCTTCTATCTTTGTGAGATTTATTGGCATACTGTATTAGCTCTTTGTAAACGTATCTTGACCAA